GCTAGTGACTTGAAACTGGAAGGGACCACATAAGAGACAGAATCAAATCCAATCCCCTCACTTCACAGAGCAAGAAACTGAGGCCCAGAGAGGTCAAATTAGTTGCCCAAGGACATGGGGTGAGTAAGGGTCACCCATAATTTGAATCCAGGTCTGACACTAAACCCAATGCATGCACTTTCCAGTCCCCTTGGGCCTCAGCTGCCCAACTGCTCTTGAAGCCTGCCTCAGATCCCATCTCTGTCTACCCAGGTGAAGCTGGAGACACTGCTTCAGTATTCAGAGTGTTTTTTTAAGGAGAAGAGGAAAAAAAGTTGTTTTTCAGGTTGCAAAGTCTTTAGATAAATAAAGGAGGGGAATTGTGTTCCCTGGGAAAAGAAACCAGATAGGCTGGGGCAGATAAAGTCCTAGGATGGGGCAAAGGAGTCCTGGGGTCTGGCCCAAGGGAAGGGAGACTGAGGAGCCATTGTCTGGGCTGGGCGCCTAGGAGCAGCTCAGGTGACTGTCTTCGGAGGGAGGTCAGGCTTCGGGCAAGTTACATGGTGCCAGCTCCCTGGGCTCCCAGCCATACCAGGGAGGGTCTGAGGAAGAGGTGCCAAGCTGGGGTCATCACCTCTCCACCTCTGTCCAGCCTTTCTCATGGGAGCCACATGGGTCAGCCAAGGGCCTAGAAGGAAGGGGGCAGGGAGTGGGGGAAGAAGAAGAAGAATCCTGGGAACTCAAAGCCTAACCCAAAGGGAATGATATCTGGTTGTCTGTTCTCTACTTTCCTCCCACTATGGGTCAGGATATAAATCTTCCTCACAAAATTGTAGAATTATAGAATGCACAGAGCTGGAAGGGTCCTTAGAACACAGAATGTCAGAGTAGGGAGGCACCCTAGAACACAGAATGTCAGAGCCAGAAGGGGCCTTAAAACATAGAATACCAGAGCTGGAAGGGACCTTAAAGAATATTAAATGTCTGAGCCAGAAAGGGCTTTAGAATTTATTTTGCCTAAGTCCCTCATTTTATCAATGTGGGGTAGAGGGGGAAGGGCAGTATTCACACACTGAGTCAGAGGCATAACTAGAACCTTGAGACTAGAACCTAGTCTCCTGACACCCAGGGCAGAGATCTTTCCACACCAGTTTGACCACTCTCAGATACCATGATTCTATGAAACTAAAAAGCCTCCAGGAAGCAGCTGCTCCCCTAAACCCCGTAGGGCTCCCGATCCAAGGAGCTTCTCACAGAATCTGTTCCTGCTTGGACCAGCTTTCATCTGACTCTGACTGCTTTGCATGGATGGGAAGCAAGGTCACCAACAGCTGGAGCTGAATCTGGGCAGTGCCAAGGCTGGGAGAGGAAAGGGGAGTGCTCCAGGGGACTCTGGGCAAAGGTGGATTGTAACTCATGCACTTGGCCATGGCCATGGAGAGGCCACCATGCCCATGGTAGGGAAGAGAAGCCCCAGCACACACCTCATGCTCTGGGAAACCGGGCTGCCACTGCACAGGGTGGGAGCCATTGCCTACAGTGTATGTGGCTAAGTGGATTTGGCAAGGAAGGGGGGGAAAGGGCTTGGCTCCATACACCTGTTTGAGGGCTCTTGACAGGGTTCTTGTATACACTACTCATTTTGGATACTACGTGACTATAAAGTACCCAGCTCTGGAATATCATTCACAAAAACCTTGCCCGTTTCCCATCTTGAATTTTCATCATGGATACCCTCCAGAAGTATGTAGACCATTCTCATAAAGAATTAATAAAAGTAAGAATATGGGATCATAGTTTCTCATATCCTCTCCACCACCTTTTCAGAGTAGTAATCACTTCTGTGGTTTTCTCCCCCCTTTTTGGGGGGGGAAGATCTCCCTTGCTCAGAAATATCTTGAAAAATCATCCCACAATGCTTTCAAGATACAGGGGCAGGAAGAATGTTAACAGCAGCTAACTACACAGCACTTTCCCACGCATTGTCTCATTTAATCTTCATGATAAGTAGTACCTCTCTTCTACTGATGAGGAAACAGGTGTGGAGAGGCTAAGAGACTTGCTGGTAGGGGTCATAAGCTAGATTCAAACCCAAGTGCTAGTACAGCACTGTTTACTCACCACGTTATCCTGCCCACCTCTAATCTCAGTGCTGGAAGGGAATTAATGGTTGATGTGGTCCAACCCACACCTGAATCATCACCCTCCCCATCCAGTCTTCTCTTAAATACCTCTACTGACAGAAAACTCACTATGCAGGGTGGCCTATTTCACATTTGTCGGTCTCAAATGCTAAGTTTTTTTTTAAGTTGGATAATGATTATCCAACATAATAATGATTATCCAACATAAGAGGCAGCTGGATGGCAAAGTGAATAGAGAGCATTGGGCCTAGAGTCAGGACACCCTGAGTTCAAATCCAATCTCAGACACATATTAGCTGCATGACCCTGGGTGAGTCATTTAACCTTTGCAGCCTTAGTTTCCCCATCTGTAAAATGGGGATAATAACACACCTACTTCCCAGGGTAGGTGTGAGGATGAAACATCGATAGTATTTATAAAGTGTTTAGTACAGTGCCTGGCACATATTCAGCGCTTAATTAATGCTTCCTCTCTTCCATTTCCTATACTGAGTAAAATCTACTCCCAATTTGTCTCAGTAGAATGAAACAGATCAAATCCTCCCTCTGATTCAACCTAGCCCTTCAGGTAGCTGGAAACACTTACCTATCATGTTCTCTCCCATTCACCCCCACTATATCAAATTTTTCCTTTTCCAGTCTAACTGTGCATGGCATAGACACTCCTTCCCACACCCTTATGGCTGCTATCCTTTGTATATGCCAAAGTTTGTCAATGCCCTCTTATTATAGACTTACAAAGAAAAGCAAGTGGTATATATATAATAAAGACTTGTACTTTTATATAAAACCTTATTTTCCCCCCATTCTATTATTTATATGTTAGTGCCTATTCTGTTTGGTGTTTGTTAAGTTTGGAATAAAAATTGAAAGATTTTTAAATATTTATACTTTGCCCCCATAAATGTTATCTCCCCCACCTTCATGATAGCACTCCTCCAAATCCTCATCTTGGTGGGCACGTAGTCAGTAAACATTTATTAAGTGCCTACTATGTGCCAAGTAAGAGCTAGGACTACAAAAAAAAAAGGCAAAAGACAGTTCCTGCCCTGAGGGAGCTCACAGTCTAATGGGAGAGCCAATAATCACCAAATACGTAGAAGCAAGCTATCCATGGGATAAAGAGGAAACAGTTAAGAGAGGGAAGGCACTAGAATTGAGAGGGGTTGAGGAAGTCTTCCTTCGGAGACGGGATTTCAGCTGGAACAAACAACTAAGCGTAGTGTGAGCTCTCCAGCTCAGCCCCATGTGGCTCACAACAATAAATGTAAGAAATGTTGAACAACAACAACAAAATACAACACAATATAGGTAATGTTAACATGTGGTTTTCTAAGTCAGTATGTGGCCCACGGGGATCGTTATCTAACCATCAGTGGCCCCGTTTCCATTTGAGTTTGACACCACTGGGCTAAGCAACAAAGACCAGTCTGTTTCCAGGGAGGACTGGGCTGGTACATCTCAGAGAATCTCATTACTAGAGGGCTGGTCACCAGCAAGGACTTTTCTAACCACAGAAACCCAAGAAGCTAGCTGAGTAGGTGTGAAGGAGGAAGGAATCTAGTCTGGTTTGCTTGGGGTTTTTTTTGGGGGGGAGACCCTAATTCTATCTCACAGGATCATTACAAGGAAACTTTTTCAAACCTGAATTCAAGTGCTCCAGAAACAAGAACTATTACTGTTACAATTGTCCTGGGGATGCCGAATGACTCATGAGGAAACATGCTGCCCCACTCCTGACTGAGAGGTGATGCATTGAGACAGCAGACTAAGATAAAGACATTTTTTCAATATGGCTAATGAGGGAATTTATTTTGCTTGACAATGCATGTTTGTAATGGAGATTTTGTTTTTCTTTCTTTCTCATCAGAGGTGAGGGGTAAGCTGATTGGTGGAAGGGAAAGAAGGTGGATTTTTGTTGATTAGAAAAAAATATTAAAAAAAGAAAAATGCAATGTAATAATAAAAGACATCAATAAAAGATTTAAAAATAAATAAATTAGTATTAGTGGGATAAATACCCACAATGACAAACCCCAATTCTTATCAAGTCTTTTAAAGTAAGAATATTCCATTCCATTAATTTCAGCCCCACCATTCCAGCCTGCTGCCATCTTCCTAGTCTTGGATCCCATTACTTAACTATGTAGCTATTTCTCCCAGTTTTGAGTCTTCTGAAAATATAACAAGCATGTCATCCATACCTTAATTCATGTTACTGCTAAAAATGTTGGTCTGTACCAACTCCAAGGGCAACCCCCTGGAGATCTCCTTTCAGGGTAACATGAAGCCATTGGAAACTCCTCTTTCTAACTGATCTTTTCACCAGTTTTGAACCCAAGTAAAGGAACCATTATTTGGCTTTTATCTATCCTCCTTGCCTTAAAGGACAAGGAATAATCATGGAAGAGAAGGCATTTGAGCTAAGTTTTAAAGGATGGGCAAAAATTGAGCAGATAAAGAAGGTAAGAGATAAAGGCATTCCTGACATAAGGAACAGTGGGAATAATCCTCTTGCTCCTTAATGCACTTTCTCCTTGGATCTAAGGGAGCACCATGTATGTCTCTCTCTAATGCACTTGGCATGGAATATTGTATCTTCCAATTTTTTGTGTTTGCATTTTACCCCCCATCAGACAATAAACTCTACAAGGGCAGGAATTACGTTTTATCTAAACTATGCCTCCTCCAGAGCCTAGTCGGGCTCAGTGCATAGTAGATACTTAGAACATGTGTTGAATGAACTAAATTATGTCTTCAGAACCCATGCTTTGGTCTGTCCCCTTTACCCCCAGGGCTAAATTGTTTCCTTTCTCCCTTCACTTCCACCTCCAGATCCCTCTACGACATTTGGGTCCAGGTGCTGGTAGAACTCACTGGAGTAGTGTCATCATGTGACCGCTGGTACCGTTTCCATCGGCAACCATAGATCCCGGTGAGGCATGACAGGCAGAGCTGGGGTTCGTAATACTGTAAGGGCTGATGTCTCACCATCCTCTTGCCCGCAGCCCTGGGAACTCGTCCTCAGAGCCCCATCCAGCCTCTGTGCACCCTGCAAAAAGAGACCAGGTGTGAGGAGGGAAAGGCATCAGCTGAGGTAGATAGAAATGGGGAGAAAGCTCTGATGATCCTGATAGAGTTCTGCGAAGCAGAAAGAATGATGGGTTTGGAATCGAGGGTCTTGGTTTTGATATTTGCTAGCTAGGCGACCTTGGGTAAAGCAACCACCTCTATAAACCTTGGTTTCTTGGTATTAGGAGGAGGTAATAGGATATGTACCAGCCCATCCCAAAGAGCTTTTGTGAAGAAATTTCCTTTGTAAATTTCCAGTTGTTATTTGGGCAACAGATTTCTAAATTACGTCTCCATTCATTTATGAGCTGACTCAGAGAATAGCAACCCCTCTTGGAATTCTTAGAGAAGACCTGGACCTTTCCCATGGATCACCCTCCCTCTGCCCTCAAGCCACCACCATCACAATGGTCCTCATCACCTCTCAGCTGGACTAGGACCTAATCCAGGACAGCAGCCCCCTCACTGATCTTCTTGCCCCAAGTCTCCTCTCACCAGTCCATCCACTGCTGCCAAAGTCATTCTTCCTAAAGTACAGGTCTGACGTTTTTCTACTCAATAGACTCCAGAGGCCCCTGTATCTCTAGGATCAGATACAGACTTCTCTGGCATTTAGAACTCTTTATAACATGGTCCTGCACTACCTTTCCAGTTTGTTTTTGTTTTGTTTTTTTTTGGTGAGGCAATCAGGGTTAAGTGACTTGCCCAGGGTCACACAGCTAGTAAGTGCCAAGTGTCTGAGGCTGGATTTGAACTCAGGTCCTCCTGACTCAAGGCCAGAGCTCTATCCACTGTGCCAACTAGCTGCCCCTCCTTTCCAGTTTTAGTACACATTAGTACCCTTTATGAACACTACAGTCCAGTCAGCCTGGGCTTCTGACTGTTCCTTACACAGAAGTTCTTTTTCCATTTCCAAGTCTTTGCATCGGCTGCCCCCCATGCCTGGAATGCAAGCCCTTTTCACCTCCTTCTACATGAAATTCTTAATCCTAGCTGCTAGTGTATGTCAGCTCATAAAGGTTGTTACCACATTTATAAGATGAGAGTACTGATCCCTGCTTTGCCATGAGAAAAGGACCAGAGACCGAACTTAGAGGGTTCACAGACAGAAGAGATCCTCTCTGGCTAAGTCCCAAGATAATGAATTTCTGGGGGAATGCATCAGCCTTTCAATACTTCCAAGATCCTCCTGTATGTCTCCTTCAGGAATTGCAGCCAAAAAAAAAAAAAATAGAGACCAAACCTTTGCTGATGTATCTCTCAGGACTCAGACAGAAGATCCTCTCCATCACTTGGCCAGGCTGTCAAGTCTTATTGGCAGAGGCCATTGGGTAATTTCATTCCCACTGAGCTGAAATATTCTTTCTGGGAACTACAGTCAGGAAAATTCTGAATTTGAATCCAGCCTCACTGGGTAAGTCATTTAACCTGTGTCTACCTCAGTTTCTTCATCTTTAAAATGGGGACAACACCTACTTCCCAGGGTTGTTATGAGGATCAAATGAGATAACAATTGTAAAGTGCTTAGCACAGTGCCTGGCACAGAGTAAGAGCTATATAAATGTTAGCTATTATTGTTATTATTAATCCTGCCCTGGATACTTAATTGTTATGTGACCCTGGGGGGCAAGTCAAACTTTTTCAGCCTTGATTTCTTCACCTATAAAAAGAAGAAGGCAAGGAGATGATGGCCTCTTCCAGCTCTAAATCTATATATATGAGCAGCCTGTATTTACAGAGGCAAAAAACTGAGGTCCAGAGTACAACAGGGACTTTGCTATGGTCGCTTCAAGAGTTGAGGCAGAATCTGAATTCAAATCTAAGCCTCCAGACTCCCAGGCCAGAGTTCTCACCACCTCACTCCAGAATGAGAAAAGTCAGATGTCTCAGGGGCGAAATAGGAGGTAATAGGAGAAAGGGCTTCTTTTCTTGAAGATGTTCTAATAATAACCTTAATATTTATATCACATTTTAAAGTTTACAAAACACTTTACTTGCACACATGATTTCACTTGAGCCTTTGAGGTTGGTGATGCTATTATTTCCATTTTACAGATGAGGAAACTGAGGTGCAAGGAGGCAACATGACTTCACCCATAGTCACATGGTAATTGTCTGCTGGGGCTTCCCGATTCCAAGTCCATTAGCTTACCCATCACACCATAGTGCCTCTCCAGAGAGGAGCCCTGTTCTGGTCTTCGTTACATTAAGTGTCTTCTGAGTTCCTTTCCAACTCTGCTACTCCATGATTCTGTCTGTGCCAGATGCTGGAGTCCTCCAGCTGTGAATTAAAAACCAACCATGGAGCTGGGAAGCTTGAGCCCTGGTCTATGTGCGCATTCCTGGTCTCAAGACTGCAAGAGCTATGTGCGCATTCCTGGTCTCAAGACTGCAAGAGACTAAGTGAGACTCATGACTTGCTTAGTCTCCTAACTGTTGCTGACAACACATTTAATTGGCAGGCTGAACGCCAGGGCTTGTTCAGGGAAAGGACCCAAACAAGAAACAAGGCCCCTTGTTCGATTCTCTCCACGACTAGAGTATTTATCTATGTTCATGGAGACTGAAGAGAATGGAAATCTAAAATCTATGAGAGGGGAACTTGGGAAGCCAAGCCCTGCCCTGCTCCTGTCCCTGGAACCATGCAACCAGAGGCTCCACACTCATCTGCCAGGGACTTTGAAGAAGGGGTTCATCTAGCAGGTGGGGGACGGGATGCAATGACCTCTATGTTCCCCTTCAGGGGATTGGTGCCCACTGTACCAGCCCTAAGACCTAAGGTGGGAGGGGAAGCTATATGACTAGGTAATCCCTACTGGGTCTTTGGCCACTGGCCAACTGAGGTGTGCTGGGTAAAGCACAAAATCTCAGAGTTGTAGGGACAGACCACAGAGGGAATAGACCTCTTCAGGAAAAGAATCCTCTCTTTAGCATCCAGAGAGATCCCCTCCTGGTGACTCCCACCAGCTGCTCTGATCTCTGACCTGTGGGGTTCCATAAAATTATAGTTAACCACACTCACATTGCCTGTACCTTAGGAACCTAGAACACAGAGATTGAAGGATTCCTGAAAGGAACTGGATAGCTCATACTAACAGCTAGCATTTTAAGGGCCTTACCTGGGCCACTTCTTTTGAACGTTATGACCACCTGGGATGGCAGTGGTAGGATTTTCTATTTTGCAGATGAGCAAACAGTCTGAGAACTTAAATGACCCTGCCTAGGTTAACACAGCAAGTCAGCATATGAGGTAGGATTTGAATTTAGGTCTTCCTGACTCCAAGTCCTTTAATAATCATAAACCACTAGTATTTATTATTTTAAGGTTTACAAAGCACTTTACACATGTTATCTCATTTGGTCCTTTCAATGAGCTTATAAGGAAGGTGCTATCACACCCATTTTAGGGATGAGGAAACTGAGGCAGAGAGGAGCTAAATAATCACTAATAATAGCAGCTAGAGGACTCAATGGAGAGAGTGCTGGGCCTGGACTCAGGAAGACCTGAGTTCAAATCTGGCCTTAGACACTTACTATCTGTGTGACCTTGGCCAATTCACTTAATCTATGTTTGCCTTAATCCACTGGAAAAGGAAATGGCAAACCACTCCAGTATCTTTGCCAAGAAAACCCGATGGACAGCATTGGTGTGCTATGGTCCACAGGGTCACGAAGAGTCGGACACAATTGACTGACTAAACAACAATATTTATATAGCACTTACTATGTGCCAGGCTGTGTGCTACATGCTTTATAATTATCATCTCACTTGATTCTCACAACAACCCTGGGAGATAGGTGCTTTTATTATCATTCTCATTTTACAAAAGGGAAAACTGAAGCAAACAGGTTAAGTGACTTGCCCAGGGTCACATAGCCTAATAAACATCTGAGAAAGGATTTGAACTCAGGTTTTCCTAACTGCTTACTCTAAGGTCAGCACTATCTCCTCTACCACGTCTCTGCCTCATCTAATTGTCCTCTCATTTTATAGATGAGGAAATACTGATGCCCCATGAAACTCTAAGCCATGCTTTAAGGTCCAGCTCTGGTCCAGCCTCCTCCACAAAATCTTCCTTGATCTCTTCTCCCAACCCCATTCCCCCATCCCTCCAGTCAGTGGTGATTTCTCTTTCCTTTGATCTCATAACACTTTATGTTCCAAATAAGCACATATCAAACCCTTTAATACTGCAGTTCTTTACTGATGTCTTATCTTCAGGTAATAGACTGTAAGGTCGGTGGGGACAGGGATCTACTATCAGTCATTTGTATATCCCCCCAGAAGACTTCAGGAAGGGTTTGTGGTATTATTGAAACCTTGGGTTTTCATTCAAATGCAATGGAAAGGGACTCAATGGGAGAGACTACTGAGGTTCTTAATAATACCTATCCTTGCTACATTCTGTACCTGCAGTTAAACTGAGGGAGGTTTAGGTGGTGCAACACTGGATAGACTACAGGGAGACCCTAGTTCAAATCCTGACCCCAGACACTTAGCAGCGGGTCACCCTAGCAAATCTCTGAACCTCTCTAAGCATGAGTTTTATCTATAAAACACGGGTCAGACTCAACAGCTGCTAAGGATCTTCCTAATTCTAAATCTATGATCCTCAGACTTACAAGCTGTGTATGTGTTTTCTGAACACACACACACACACACACACACACACACACACACACACAGAATGTTCTCTGAATGTCAGCTGGAAAGGATCTTGGAACACCATATGTTACAACTAAAAGGAACCTCAGAATCCATATCCAAGCATTTATTAATCACCTATGAAGTAATTAGGCTCTTTGCTACCTCTGCTGGATACACAGACAAAAATGAAACGGTTCCTGGTCCTCCAGGAACCCGACAATCTTTCAGAGGAGACAATGTATACATTTAAATATACAAAGTAAATAGCTGTGAGGCAATTGGGAAAGGCTTCATTTTAGGAGGTGATGTCTGAGCTGAGGTTTGAAGGGAAA